ATGTGCAAACAGTCTCTTCAGCATTTACACACCAGGCAGGAATATCGGTCAGTGTGTGAACATGATTGTGGCTGTGTAATAATCACGAAATTCTGGTAAGAAATCAAGTTTGATTTTTTTTGTAGTCCAGATTTAATTTATCTCTATCATAATAAAATTACGTAATCCTAATGTAGAGGGATTCAGCAGCCTGGGTCCATCTGTTGGGCCAGGAAATTTGCAGTACATAAGTCCTTAGCATAGATCTCTCCCTATCTGATATGCAGATGGGCCCCATCATCCTTCTAGTGGAGTATCCCCTCTTTTCATGTACTTACCTGCCCATTTAAAGCCCAGTCAGATGGGCTGGTGTGATGGTCTAGTTTTTTATGTATGTACTTCAATTTGCTCTACAAAGGTCTATGCAGAAAGTGACTTGGACAGCACTTATGCTATCCAAAACTGCCCCAAAGTGCCTTGCCCGGAGTCACACAGGCCTATGAGGTGGGGCAGGGCATCACGCCCCAGCCCTTGAGCCCTATGCTCGTTCTGTAAGTGCTGAGAACACCCAACATCCCCCTGCCACTTCATCAGAGAAAACACTATGAACTCAAATTTACAGGCAGTGAATTCACATGCAGTTTTCACTGTGAGTCAGATCAGTTTGGGATACAGGAAAGAGAGGTGGCAGCTGTAGAGAAGCCACAGAAATCCTCATTCCAGGTAGGGCTAGTGGCCTAGTTTTCAGCGGGTGAGTTTTTTTTTGTTTTGTTTTTTGTTTTTTTTTTGTTTTTTTTTTACCATCTTTTGCTTCAGTTGTCTCTGTGTGGCCGTCTGTGCTGCTCCCACTCTCTGAGGCTGCAGAATATCTCTCGGATAGCTCTACCTGTCAACAAACATCACACATGAGCTCTGCAGAGATGGGTGTAACCCATCCTCACACAGCAAGTGCCAGCAAGGAATTTCTTTTCTGGCAGCAAGTGCTTGGGTAAGAAAATCCAAGGCTTAGGACTTGATGCTAGTAAAGCTAGATATGGTACAGAACTGGGATCACAACACGCACACATCACAGGAAGACTCACAGAGGCACAAATGCTGTGCACCCCAAAATGCACCATACATGCAGATGCCAAACATGCAGGCAGAGGACTCCAGTCAGCAGAAATCAGTGTCTTTCCACTGAAATCCCTGAGTCCTTGGTGACTTACACCAGCTCAGGGTCTCCCCAGGCTGCATCTCTGGAGCGCCCCGGCCGCACGCACCCCTGCGCTGCCCACTCTAACTCCTCGTGTCCCGAGCTGCCCTGTAACCTGCCCATGGGCATTTGCAACTCCTCATATCGTGATATGAGGGTGTGCACAGGAATTTAAGGTGGCCGCCAGAGGCTTATGAAGATTTCTTTCTCCTCTGACTGCTTTGCTATAAGTTGCCCCCAGGGAGAATCACTTTAACCTGGGTTAGGAAGCACTCAAGCCCTTGCATTCAAGGGTGTATTTTCCTTCCAGAAAACTCATGGTCAGAACAACTGTTCTGCTGGATGAGATAACGGCCGCTCCCTGTGCAAGGGAGAGTCCAAGTGCTGAGTCAGTTTTGGGGGAAAAACGTTGCAATAAAATTAAGACTGCAAAGGAAAATTAAGATTGTTCCAGTGAAACTCCTTTCAGCAGAATCAGAATTTGGTTTACAGTTGTATCAGGCTCTGATCAGATAAAATTACTTACAACTCTGACTGTTATTTATTACAGCAGCAGGGAGAAAAAGTACCACCAAAAGTGCTATTTCTCTCTGTGTGGAGACTGGATGTACCTTTGGGTAACAAAGACGCTGTGAATCCGGGGTGTACTGATTGCCTTCACTGCCTCCTTCGGACTGGAGACCACTGGTCTCCTGGATGACCTGTGCAGAAGACAAAGCCAGAGCCTGTGAACAAAGTTGCATTAGCAGAACCAATAGTTTATCCCCCTGCTCCACCCCCACCAAAAAAAAATAAAACAGGCAAAACTACAGCAGTCTGGCAGACACGTGGCAAAATTTGGCAACCCTCACCACAGACTGTGCCATGTTACAGCACTGGAGCTTGGGGATGGATTGCTGCAGAGACCTGGATTGCTGCAGAGACCTGGAGCTTGCACTCGGCTGTGAGCAAACCCAGGGACTGCTGCAAGCTAAATCCTACTCTGATTGATGCTCCCTGCAACCCTGGTGACTTCAGCGGGGCTGCAGCACCCAGCGCCTCTGCACCCCGAGTGATCCCCGGCTCTGTGTCCTGTTGCTGTGCAGGGCCCTGCTCCCTGCGCTCTCCACAGCCACCTCATGTCTCCCCTCTCCTCTCCACAGCCCCGGCTCTGCAGCATGAAATGAGCTTCTTTCTCCCTCTGCAGCCTTTCCCGAGGAGCCTCGCCGGGCTGGTGCAGGGAGCTCAGTGCTCTCAGGCTCAAGGATCGTCCTTGTTCCTCTGCAGCCGTCGGGCTGGGCAGCCCCTCGGCCGCCTCCTGCGAGCAGCACAGAGCTGCAGGAGGGAGCTAACCCAGGACGTGAAAATGAAGTGCTGTGTTTGTAGGTGAGGTTGCAATGAGGAAGACAGCCAGAGTGTTCAAGGACAGGGCTGAGCTATGGAGGCCCCCGGGGCATTTAGCCAGAGGAACATCTCTGGGAGAGTCACAACCCTGTATAGGAACTGGGGTGTGTAGGGCCCCCCACAGTTCCCCTCTCCATCCCCTCTTTCTTATTTCCCTTTGCATTACTAGAGAGCCCAAAGATATAACTCCAGAGGATTCTTTCAAAAGCCTCTTTCTCTGGTTACCTACTCTTCTCACAGGCTGAGCAACGTGATGCTGCCTTTTCCAACAGCCAGAGTTTCGGTCCCATGTTTTTTGCTACCTTTTTCACGTGCAAAAGTTTCAAGAACTAACTTGGCCCAGATGGGACAATACTGACACTGGCTTGTGCTGGCTGGGGTCTGAGGCAGTCAGGCTGGAGCCTGCTCTTGGAGAAAGAGCACAGCTGAGCTAGTGCCACGCTGTGCCCAGGCCAGGCTACGTGTCCCCTGCCTCCCCACTTCTCACACAACATGGCCATAGAGCACTTGGACCACCACCTTCTGCTAGGCCCTCACACCCCGTAGACCCAGGTAGAGCAAGCAGGGCAAGCACAGGGGCTGCACTGACCCTGAGCCACTGCTCTGCCTGGTCTTTACTCTGCAGCCCCAGCACGATGACGTCGGCGTTCGCGGGGATGATCTTCAGCTTGTGCTCTTTCTTCTTCACTTGCTTCTCCTTGTGAATGACAGTGCAGCCCAGCAAATTCACATCGAGCTGAGGGCTGTGGTCCTTGGAGCTCTTGTAGCACTGAGGTAAGGAAGAGAGAAGTCAAATAAAAGAGTGAACAGAAAGCTTTCCTTCTGCTTGCTAGCATGAACTCACCACTAGAAGTGCTCAGTGCAACCACATGCATCAAGAGCACTGAGCACAAGAAGGCTTGCATACATCTGTATATTCAGACACACAAATATGGTTGTCTTAGGTAGAAAATGGAGGCTTTACCCACCAGCAACCTGGTGTCCTTGATAACGCACAGCTGTTTTGCCCACTGTCCCAGCCACTTCTTCCTCCACAGGAATGCACAGATGCGGGCGTCCTTCATCAGCTCAATGGTGGCCTCCGTGGATGGCCACTGGTGGGTCGCTGACTTGCCTTTGCTGCTCTCTTCTTCATCGTATGATTCGTATGAGCTACTAACTGCATCACCATCTTCTACAACAAAAGTAAATCTTTATCACTAAGTGCATTTCTAGGCTAATTCTGGGCCTATGGCTTGCCTCAGCCATGCTCACACATGCAAGAGCTCCCCGTGCAGGGATGTATCTTTTGAAGATTTGCTAGAGCAGCATGATCCACAGGAAAATAATCCTCATAAACTTCTTTCTCCTTTCTGGTCTAATATTAATTTCACTGTAACATTCTGTGCCTAATTGTCTCAATTAGCAAACACTCGACGGCACTTCCCAGTTGATCACAAGTTTGAGAACATCCCCTTAGACATTTTCTGCTGTTTGCTGCTTTTTCCCCTCAAGATACTTCCCTCTTCAAGCCAAATACTCAAAATTTTTAAGGCAATTGCAAGCTACAATCAGCCCTTGTCCTCTGAATGTCAGAAGTAAAAATGAAATTTGCAAGGCCATGCAACAAGCAATGATCTATTATATTTGGGATGTCGTTCCACTTTCCCATTCTGGGCTATCTCACTACTCAGCATCTAATGGACAGCAAGGGGCTTTGAAATGATTCTCATCTGAACTTAAATATCTGACAAAAGTAATATTATCAGATTGATGAAAAATAAAAAGAGAAAAAAATGGGAAAAAAAAGGCATTAGGAACTTCACTGAAGAGCAAGTCACCACATCTTTCAAAACCTCCTCTTTATCAACACGGAGCTGCTGGAAGTCTTTGCTCCTCCTGTTTGTCTCTGGTGCCCCTCACCTAGACGTCAGGCCTCAGGCTGCCTCCTTTCTCCTGGGGAAGTAAAACCTGTCTTCCATACTGACAGCATGTGCCTCAGCTGCCTTTCTTTGTGCAGTAACCACAACTGCCTCAGGAGATGACACATCTTGTAAAACCAGAATGTGTTTCTCCTGGAGTCTCCTGTTACATGGAGACGGGAATCCCCTGACTCCCTCTGCACCGATGCTCACTCTTCCCTCCCCATTTCTCTAGCCTGCTCCTGAATAGGCTCTTGTACCTCTCAAGGCTTTTAGAGTTCCTGAAATTTCCAGACTCTCAACACTGCAAAATGATCCTTCCAAACTAGCTGAGAACCAGGTAGGGTTTTCAAACAGAAACACCCAGGAGGGTCTCGGACATGCTCTGGGATGTCCTTATCTAGATCCACCATGCTGCTTTCCTGTTTGGACTTCCCACAGGCTGCTGAGTAACTTCATCAATATAATAATGCAGGGAATTACAACAATCCAGCAGGTCAGAGGCTTCCTCTACCTCTGCAGAGCATCTGCAGTGCTCGCTGAACCACTACCTGTGGATGCAGCTACCGTTAGCACACATCAGCTCCACATCAGCCACTGTAAATGGGGAAGTAGGGGCCAGGAAAGGTCTCCTTGTTATCCTGAGCAAATAAGAACACCTGCCCTCTGTATGTGCAGCAAGGATGGACACGGGTTACTCTCCATGCACAGAGTGGGCAATGCCAGTGGGAGGCATCCGACCATCTTTGCTAAAACTCTAATTTAAAAGAATAAAACCAACAACAACAAAATAACAAAAATGACCAAGCAAAGGGCACGTCAGGTTTTGCAAACACGCCATACCCGTCGTTATTGTGGCATAAATAACGCCCTCAGTAACCTGCAACCCTGGCCTCGGTCCAGCCGCAGCAAGCCTAGCAAAAAGACCTGCACAGTCAAAAGCAAAGAGAAAGAGAGACAGGGAGAGAAAGCCACAGATAAACACAGGGAAGAACAAGTGAGTCAGTGTCGCCCAGGCCCACGCTCCCGTCCCCGTGTCAGCGAAGGGAGCTCGCTGCACAGCGAGACTTCAAAGAGCAACGAGGGGCCAGGAGACAGTTTCAACCAGCTCCTTTGAACAACACAGATCCTTTCAGAAAAACAATCACCACCGTAACTCAAACCAGGCAGGGCCGAGGAACTTTTCGGTTGGGATAATTACTGCTCAGGCGGCAGCCGCGCTGCGTTTCCCCTCCGCTCCCTATCGCACCCTCCAATTACACAAAGGCAGCCCCGGAGGGGACTGGGACGCGCTGGGCACGCTGCAGGAAAGAGGGACCCCCAGACCCAACAGCCTTGCCTGCCCTGGTCCTTTTTAATTAATCCAGCCATGGCTTGCTATACTGCTTTGCGCTCCACCTCTGACGCGGCGCGACTCTTCTGTCTCCGCAGCCCATCTGGAGGGTTGCTTTGATGTCTTTTCTTCGCGGCGCATTCATTAATTCTACAAATGTTCCTATTTTTGTTTAATTTTACTATGCCCATTTGTTTGGAGATGTGCGGGTGTCTTCCAAGGCTCACACTGTGGCTCCCCACGCTGCCTGACTCCTTCTGACTCAGCTTGCAGGGCCGGGAGATGCAGGGGGAGCACAGAGGGCTTGGATGGTTAGCGGGGTCGTATTTTAGCATATTTGGCTAGAAAAAGTCTAGGCAAACCTGCACGTGTTAGGAATTGTCCTTTAATAGCATCAGGCATGCTAAGATCTCAAAGTGGTTGGCAGCAAAAAGCATCACTTCATATCAAACAGGTCCAAGGATGCTGCCACCACCTAGCAAAGCAAGGCGGAGAGAATAGAGATTCCCGTTTTGTACTCGTTAAATCAGTGGCAAATAGGTGCAACCAAGACCTATAGGTCTCACCCACAAGCCAACGGGTTTGAGCTCCGATTTCTTGAGTCCAACAAGGGCACCAACTGCTTTGCTGCTCCCCTGCACTCCTCTGCTGCCTGCTCCTCTCACATCACCCCATTTACTCCAAGGAATCACTACCTCCAAAGAGGATTATACCAAATGAAAGGAAAAACAAACCCTGAAACATGGAGACTCTTAGCAACCCAATCAACCAGCCCAAGGCCTCCACTTTAGAGGCTCGTGTCTCTTTTCACTGCCATGGTACTGGTCAGGGCTGCACCTAGTGTGCAGTGGTGCCTGGCATTCACTGAACAGCAGGAACTGGGCTTAGAAATTAAAGGATTTCATTTAACAAGCCTTAGGATGCAGTCCAGAGCGGCAGCCAGATATAACTGGGCTCTCATCTCATGCTGGGATTTGTTTCCACCCTGGAGACTCTGCAGCTGGTGGGCAGGAAGCAGCGTTCAGATCCTGCCCCTTTCCTAGTAAAGGAGAGGAGGATCCTTGGGGGACCAGAGACACACTAGTGAGGGGCTCCAAAACCAGGGGGACAGAGTGCCCGCATGGACTGTTCCCTCATGTTTTTCTCACTATGAGCTCCCAGATTCTGCTCCTGGGTCCTCCTTATGAGGATTCTGCTCCCTGATTCTGCTCCTGGGTTTGGTTTTATCGGAATATCCAAAATATCCTTATTTAAAGTACAGCCAGCAGCAGACGCAGAGCAAAGGGAAAGTGCTAGTGCTCATGGTAAGTAGCATCACACCGCACATTTATACTCATAAAACACTAAGCCGGCTGGTCAAACAACTATTAATAGCAGCCACAGGCTGCACCCCCAGCTCCCAGAACTGCCTCATTTTGACAGCATTGCCATCACTGGGGCTTTTTCTACCACCCTTGTAGGGCTCTGATCTCTCAGCTCCTTAGGAATCTGGCCTGAGTTTCAGTGAACCACAGGGAAATATAAGTACATCTCCGAGCAACGGGGTACCAAGAAAAACGTTTCAGCTGGGCTCCACCTTATTGATCCTGCCAGCTAATGGGAGTTTATGGAGCCAACGTGCCCTGCTGCTTGTCCCTGCCGTGCCCTGCAGAGCCCTCGGTAAAACCCCAGACCATTTTAGCACAGCCAAGCCGACACCTGAGTACACCCTGGTGGGGGCCCAGCCTCTCCTCTGCACCAACCAGCATGTTTCACCCTGGCCACGGTGACTCTCCGCCTTTTCTCACCCAAAACAGCAGCAATCTTCCTGTTCACTGCAGTTATTTAGCTGCTGCCAAAAAGGGATGGTTTGGGAAAATGAAGTTATTCCTACATAGCTCTCTCTTTTTTTTTTTTTTGCTTAGCCTTTTTACTTCTAAGCCTTCACAACTACAGCAAGCTACAGGAGCTACGAACTGTCCCCATGTGCATACACTGCACCAGTGGTCATTAAGATAAATTAAACCCCTGTGATTTCCAGGCGTGGCTTCACCAGGGCTTCTCTTTCAGGGAACTTCAAAGCCCAGCATTGGCCACTGGGGCCAGAGAGGGCTCAGCCTCTCTCATGAACAGCTCAGACACAAGAGCCAGGAGCTTAGACCCAAACCTACCTCCTTCCTCAACTCTCCATCCTCTGCCTGCCTCCCCCCTCCAAGCTGCCCTGCACTGTGCTCGTGATCACATCCCACTCTGCTGCAGACAAAGGTGGTGACCAGGGATCTGCGTTTCCAGAGGGGTGACATCACCTCTTGCATTCGTGCTCAGTTGGACTCTACAGTGATGAGAAGATCGGCTCGCTATCAGATGAGAGGTGATAATCTCACATACAAGGTATTGCACAAAAGGAGGATACATGAATACAGCTTCTGGAGAAAGCATCTCTGAAATCAAGCCACGTGCACCGATCTCCCGAAGAGGATGGGGAATTCGTAGGTGACAGAAGCTAGTGGTGCTGCTAGAGACATCACTGGCAGCTGCAGACATAGCAAGATGAGCAAGTGTGTATAGGAGTTTGACAGCACACACACTGTCCCCTTATATAAAGTCTGGCTTTGAAAAGAGTTTAAAAATGGTTAATAAACTATCAAAAGGGGCATAAGTTATCTTAATAAATTATCAACTATAAAAACTGCTATTAATTCTAACAGATCAACAGATTCACAGATTTCAAGCCCCAAGGGGACTATTAGACCAGTCTCACACAAATGCAAGGCACCAGCACTTCACCAGTCACTCCTAAGAAGAAAATCCTAAGTACTCCTGCATTTAACCAAAGCTTAACTGCTAGAAAAACATCAAGGGAAAACGAATACACAATTGCTTGCAAGATTTTACAGTGATGCTGTGTTAACCCAGATATAATACTTATTTTTGCAGGAAGTTTAAAACTGAGTGATTCATTTTCTTTACAACTAACATAGATCTCTAATAACACCAGTAAATAAACTCATCACACAAGCTGTAAGAACTGTATGCACTTCTGTGTAGCAGTTCTCACAAACCTCAAGTTCTCCATCCCGTGCAAATCCCCCTGAACAGTTAGCTGCGATATACCATTTACAGAGATGTCATATGGCTCAGCCTCTTCATAATATCCTTCTGGGGATTCGATCTTGGGGACCAAAGGCTGTTTTGTTTCTGGAATCTGCAGAGCAAATAAATAAGAGAAGTATGATTTTAGGTAAAGACAGATGCTTGAATACAATCTGATTCTTTATTTTTAAGCATGAACAGGTTACAAGGGATATGCAAGGGAAGAAAGACTACTGAGTGTTACAGTGGTGAAGGATTCCAGTATGCAGGTAGTTTAAGCATAAAGGAGGTTGGCAGCTACCATATAACTGTGCTATAAACATTTTTTTCTTTATTTTTTTCTGAAAACCCTGGGAGGATCAACTGGGATGTTTCCCAATAAACAGCAGTTCTAGTCCATAGGTCTCGCCATGAAAGGGGAGGTCTTCCTGCCCTACAGATTCCTCCTAAGCTGGGGATGATGATCTACACTATGGAGAGTGTTAGGAGAGAATCAGAAATGAGTATTTTTGGTGCAATCCTGGCTATGTTGAAGTTACAGTCTGAGCCATTGCTGTACCTTAGAGTTCCTTGCTAGTAGCAAACCAACAGCTAAAAATCTCTGTTTTAGGAACTATATAAGGAATCTTTAATTGTGCTCTGAACAAAAAATGAAGGAAATAGATAAACAACACTGATGGAAAATAAGCCTTTGAAAAGAGTCCAGAGCTGGAAAATCCCTGTGGTGCCTGCCAAACCCCTCCCTAAACACAGGCAAGAGCTGGCAGGAAAAACAGGGCCTTGTTCCTTTAGAAATACCAGCAGACAAGGCAAAAAAAAGAAAAGCAAAAAAGAGAAACTAAGAAACAAGCTTTATATTTTTCAATTCATTCATGTGGCTGTCAAATGTTAGACAACAGAATCGGAGATTACAGCAGGATGAGCCCAGGATTATGCTGTTTCCACAAACTATGGGATCATGTCTTACCCATCACCACCTGACCATACCATCCCCACCAGGCCTCAGTGAGGCCACTCTCTCATCACCCACTTAAAATCATTCCCTCGATCATCAGATAACAGTGGCTGGATTCTGATCGAGATTCACATAAACCCCTTGAAGGTTATGGATCACACGTGCTCTTCCTGGCTACCCCCACAGATGCTCTGGGTGCCCTGCAGAAGAGGGGGTGGATGAGCATCAGCATCACCAAGATACGGAGCAGTCTACAGCAGGATCAATCCCTTTTCAAGTCATGCCAGTACCATGAATGTAGGTTCAGAGCTGTCCCTCCTGCCCTATGGGAAGCAGAAACGAAGCTTTGACAACAGAAGATTTTCTGGTCAGTAACTGCCCATGAAGGGGACGCTGGCTGAACCCATCGGACTCCAGTCCTCGAAGGCAGCTCCAGGCAGACCAGGCACCCCTGCAGCCCCGCATGTGCGAGCAGCCCTGCGAAGGGCAGGAACCTTGCACTGAAATCTCCTTCCACACACTGGGAGCAGGCTCTCATCTTGCTTTCCAGGGCCGTGGAGGACACACCGTCAGAAAACAGTTGTCTCCAAATTCTTCAAAGCCTTGAGACTTTGCCCTGATGTGTTAAAGAAAAACAAACAAACCCAGCCACTCCAGAGCTTTGCTTAACCCCTTTCCTGGCCAGGGAACCTGTCTGCAATTGCCATCTGTGGTAGCCCCGTGTGTGCAGCCAGCTCGCATTGTGTTGCAGCCATAAACAAATTGCCTAAACAAAGCAATGCCGTGGGTTGTTGTTTTGGGTTTTTTTTTGACACGGTCCAACAAGTGTCAGGGAAGGGGTGGGGGAAGGACCTGCTCTGTTTTGTTTCCTACAGACAATAGAAACCAACAGGGACTAGGCGGGACTGGGCTTCAGCTGCCCCAGAAGTTATTTTTCCTCTTCTCTTTCCC